AAAAAATATATTGAAGCTAGTTATTTTAAAATTGTATCTGATAATTCCCATGTATAAATCACCTGTAAGTCTGTATTATTTGGTCTTTCTCTCTGGTGTTTTATCATTTGGTCTTATCTCCTGATAAGTCTGATAATTTTTTATTGAATGCTTGACATCATGGATAAAAAATTTTCATGAAGATTTGTGCTTCTAGATAATATTATCTTCCTCTAGAGAGGATTTGCTCTTGTCTTAACTAGATCAAGGTCAGATTACCTTAAACTCTTCTTGGATTGAATTGGTTTAAATCTGGATTTTAGCTTTTGTAATGACTGACCTATTCATATATGCTAGAAATAAGATTTTTAGCTATAACTCGTCAAGGGTCCCAACTTAACGTCGGGGTTATTTTCCAGTTTCTTTTGCTTACAATGGCCCAGAACTCAATCCCCACCCCCCCCACCCCATGAGTTACAGGAAACTGTTGAAATTTCTTATCAACTTCTCCGTCCCTCAACTGTACACATATCTGTAAATGCCTTCTAGAGAAACATGCCATCTGATGTCTGGTTCATATGAACACATTCATTTTCCCTTTGTGTTCTTGGCCTCTCAAATCTTCATTGTCCTGGTAACTTCTCTTCATGCTTAAACTTTCTTTTATAGTTGTTTTTGGCAAAGGTGTTTGTCTGACACGAGACAATATACCACAGGCAAAAGCAAAATTAAGATCATGGGCTTTGGAGCCAAACTTTCAGGGTTCAAATTTCAATTCCATCATTATCTTGCTATGTGACTGGGAATAAGGTGTCAACTTCTCTGAGCCTCAGTTTTGATATTTCTCAAGTGGGGACATATAGAATCTACCTTCTAGTGATATTGTGAGTGTGTTCTTAGAAAAGTGCCTGGAAAACTGGAATACAAAATACTTTTTCTGTATTGGTGTTTGCTATTATTATCTTCACTTTGACTAGGTTTTTCTTTCCAGTTCTCTTCCATCGTATGACGTATATCATTAATGGACTTTTCCTGGCGACTGGATGAAGTCCAAACCCTACATTTGTAGTTCTCAGCCTAAGTGGCATGCTAGAGTAACCAGGGTGTTTTTAAAACTCCTGAGACCACAGACCAACTACATCAGAATTTTTGAAGTGAGATCTACTTATCAGTATTTTAAAGAGATCACCAGGTAATTCCAGGGTTCAGCCAAGATCGAACACTCCTGCTTTACATTGTGGCTTTCAAGACCAATTGAAGTCCAGCCAAAAGACAGTCCAACCTGTCTTTAATCACCACATGCCCTTGCCTTTCATTGTGGGCATTCCTTGGTAGCAGGCCTATCTGTTCAAGGTCCAGACTTCATAATCCAGGCCTAGATAATCTCCTGGCAGATCACACAAGGCTCAGACACTGATGGGCTATCGCTTTGCCCTCCCTTCCATGGTGGTATGAGTGGGGACACAGGCATGAGCTTCTACCTTTGTCCCCTCCCCTTGACTCCATTCCCTTATCTTAACTTGCATCTGTTCATGGCAAACTTTCCCAGGTAATTTTTCTGTCCTCTTCCTTATACTTCTACCAGATCTTCCATTTTTACTTTTCTTTTCCCAAGACTAAGAGCTCCCATTCCTTTCAAGACACATACTTTTAACCTATTTTCTTGATATCTAAACCTGCTGCTTGGCACAGTAGCTGGTTTCCAGTCGTGGGTCTGGAGAAACCTGGGCTTCCCTCAACAGTGGCCAACTCCATGCTCATCCCTACCTCTGTTCCTTTGTGTTACCATCTACCTAGAATATTTCTACCCCTTCCCCCTCCTCTGCCACTCTGAATCTGTCCAGCCTCCAGGCTCCAGGTCTTCCATGGTGACTACTCAGCATCCCCGGTGCACACTGATTTTCCTCCCCCACACTCCTGCTCACTTTGTCTATTCCACACAATTTTGCTTCCAATTATGTACAGGCCTCTAATGGAGAACCTGGGACACAGTAGAAATTCAAAACTGAAATCCCTTACCTGGAAAATCCCTTCACATCAGTGCCGAGATTAGTATTTGAACAATTGGGGGTGGGAATCTTGGGGAGCCATCCTTAGAATTCTTCCCACCCTAAGAGTGCTGGGGAAGAAAGCCAGAGAACCCTTAAGGAAAGGTCCCTTAGATCCAGTGTCCAGTGCCTTGCAGAACAAAAGGCATCTTTTGGGGTCATCTAGTCCAGCCCTCTTCTTTTTCTGATGAAAATACTAAAACCCAGAAAGGGGAAGAGAATTTATAGGTCATCTTCCATGTGCCTACCCTGGGCCAGATACTACACTAAATGCTTATGGGGGATACACCCATAAATAAGACTCAGCACCTGCCCTTAGCATTTCATTACCCATGCACTCAAAGTCCACAGAATTTACTTTTCCTTCAGACTATAGCCTAAACCCTGCAAAACCAAAAATTGAGTTTTCCTTTCTCATCAGTTAAATAAGGATAAACATATGATTTAAGTGAGATAATGTGTGTAAAGTGCTTAGCAGAGGGCTTGTCACCTTGTAAGGATTACATAAATAAATGTTAGTGATGATTACAATGAACTGTACTCTGGTCCAAGTAGAAGAGGGGATTCTGTTAGGGAGAGCCAGGCCTTCTTTCTCTTGACCTTTCTGGGTAGCAAGGAGCAATACTTGGGCTCTCGTCCTTCCTCCTTTTCTCTTCTGAGAATTTTGAGGGTCTGAAAAGGTGCCTGGAACCCGGCATTTTCTGAAGAGAGAGGAAATAGATACAGAGAATAAAGAAAAAAATAACAAAAGTGTCATCATAGGGATATGCCCGTGGGAATTATCTATTGTTTGGAGAAACAACAAACATAGGTTGAGCACCAGCTGTGTACCCTGCCTTGAGGTTCTCATTAGAGGGCGCGACAACTTCAGTGGTCCCCATCCTGCTTCCATTCCAAGACCTGTCACAGGTCACACTCGTCCTTTGCCTCCCTCTCTTTGTTAAAGAACTGTTGCAGTATCTCCTCCATCCAGGAAAGTTAGGTCTGTTTGGAGAAGGACGGTGATTCTGTCATTGCTATAGTTGGGATGTGGTTTGTCCTCACCAAAACTATGTTGGAATTTGATTCCTAATGTGATGGTGTTGAGAGGCGGTGGGACCTGTTGAGATGATTAATTAGCTCATGGGGAATCAACCCTCATGAATGGATCAGTGTCTGTCTCAAGAGAGTGGCTTAGGTCTCCCAGGAGTGAGTTGGATTAGTTACCATGAGAATGGGTTGTTACAAAGCAATGTCACTCTTAGTGTTTAGGCCTCTTTCCTGCGCTGCTTGCTGTTCTCAAATGTGTTCCCACCATGTGATACCATTTGCCATATTATGACACAGCGTGTGCCTTCATCAGATGTGGCCATCTGAGCATGGGCTTTTTAGCCTCCAAACCCCTGAGCCAAAATAAACTTTATTTCCTTATGAAGTATCCAGTCTCAGGTATTTTGTTATAGCAACACAAAATAGACTAAGCCACATACTTACTAAAAAGTTCTTCTAGGAAACCCTGTCAGAAGAGGGGAAAGGGGGCTAAAATTGGGGTTTCATATTTTGGGATGTCAAAAATGAACTGAGTGATTTGGCTGTAGTTGAGAAAGGAGCATTGAAAAGAAGCTGGGAGAGCCTCAGAAAAACTAACTGTAAAATGCCTCCCAAGCTAACTTCTGAGAGTTTTAAAACCTGCTTATTGTGTATTACTGGTGGTAGAAGTTTGAGGCACTGCAACATGCTGATAGGGGAGACACTTTGTCAAGAGCAAAGGAGAACTGGGCACTGTGGTACACACCTATTATCCCAACTGCTCAGGAGGCTAAGGCAGGAGAATTGCAAGTTTGAGGCCAGCCCCAGGAACTTAGTGAGACCTTGTCTCTATATAAAAAATAAAAAGGGCTATGGATATAGTTCAGTAGTAAAGCACCCCTGGGTTCAACCCCTGATACTGAAAAAACAGTCAAGGAGAGTGTCCAGAGGTGTATTTCTTCTGCTAACACTAGGGGCAGGCATCTGCCAGTGACGAGCCAAGCCTTTTGGGCCACACCTGGTGACATCCTTAGGGAGGCAGTCTCTGGGTGGAAAGTGGGAGACGGGGGTGGGGGGGTAGTGCAAAGAGGAATAGTGTGGTGGCAAACAGTTTTAAACATTTTGATGCTATTTAAATTATAAAGAGCCCATAAGTCTTTACGAGTTGACCATTCTGTATTTCTTCCAGGCCAGTGGGGAGGTGGGTTGTGAAGCTCTGTGAGTCAAAAAGCCCTCTTGGGCCACCTTTTTGTATAGACAAAGAATGAAAATAAATGTCACAAGATTTAGAATAATAGTAATTGGGGGCTGGGGATGTGGCTCAGTGGCAAAGTGCTTGCCTGGCATTGGGTTCCATTCTCAGTACCACATTAAAAAAAATGAATAAACAAGTAAAGTATAAGGTTCATCTATAACTAAAAATAATTAAAAATAATAGTAGTTGTATGCAGTGCAAGAAACATGACTTTCGTCCCTACTGGTGGAGTGTAAGTTTGTTCAGTCTTTCTTGCGGCATTTGAACAGTATCAAAATTCTTAAAAATGCTCATAACACTTCGATCTAGCAATTCTACTTCTAAGAACATGTTCTAGGGAAATTGCTGGACAAGGGCACAAAGATCTATGCACAGTGACATTCATTATAGTTTTGTTCACCACAGTGAACAGCTAAAACAAGCAAAATATCCAGTAATTAGAGATTGGATAATAAATGGAGGTCACTTCATGGAATACCATGCACCTACTGTAAGGATGCTGCTGCTCTTTAATATTTATTGATATGAAAATATGGTTATAAATGAGAACCTGAACTACAGAACAATATATTCATTAAAATCTTATTTTCATAGATAAAAAATAGATCTACATTTATTTCAGTTTTTTTTTTTCATCCCAAACTGTTATTTCACCTATGTGGCTTCACACTGCGATGGGCCCTGTGGAGGCCTGATGGCACACAGGTTATTGCCACAGAGTGGTTTTCAGTCCCATGTTGTGACGATCATAGGTAGCCTGTGCACATTACTTTGCATAGTATCTGGTACACAGTGGGGAAGTAGAGGTGGAAAAAGTATTGCTTCCAGAAAGCCTCTTAAACTGTTAAAGAAAGCATTTTTTTCTAGGATGGCTTGGCTGATGTGTTAGTTTATTGGGTGCTGGTGACCTCGAGTATGCTAAGTACTTGCCATACCACTGAGTTACACCCTAGCCTCTTGGCATGAATAGAACAGAAAGTCTGTCACAAAAAATTGGCATAGTTTGTTGACCAGAAAGCATGTAGCTGGTATCTCAATTTTGAAAAAAATAGTACATGCACCCATAAAAGACATCCGTAAAAATATAAGTTAAAAAATTTAACAGTGTTTGAATAATATTGGATCAACAGTGATTTTGTCTTTTTTTGCTTTAACGCACCCAATCTCGTGTGCATAGAATAGCCAGGTCTTCAAAACTTCTCTTCTCTTCCAAGTATTTTTTTTTAAAGACTTTAATTACTGATATAAAGTAAAACAATTACTTGTTGGTTGGCTGAGAATTGCTAGAAATTAATAAATAGTTTGGAAATTATTTAGTAAATTCTAATTACTTAGCAAAAGTAATTAAAATATTTATAAGTGAACACCCATAAAATACCACCAAGCAAATACATTACTCAATAAATGGTTTAATTAGTATTTCATTACCAGAAATTAATCTCAGTAACCAAACATTACTACAAATTACATGTAGGATGGACAACTTATTTTACTGCTATTAATGATTTCAATTACTAAGTTTGTGCAAGCCTCATTCCTTCCTACTGCCTTCACCACCCCCCTGCACCCACCCAGGCAAGTTCTCCCACACACTGGGCCTGGATTAGGATGCTGGTGGCTGGTTTGACCCTTCCACATGTTGGGAATCCTCAGCATAGAGATGAAGAATTTCCTGTTTGTCTTACTGAAATAAAGTCCCTGGAGACCTGTTAAATCAGCTGAAATCAGACTCCAGGGGATGGTGGGCTTCTTATCCTAGATATCGTCTTCTCTGGAGTCTTCGAACTCACTTAGCTGCAAGATTTGGTTCCTTCCCCAGGTCCTTGCCAAGGCCTTTGTGGCACTGGCTTGGATTCCTCGTTCACCTCTCAGGTAGCATGGCAGGGCTGGGCTGGGCTGGGCTGGGCTGGGCTATTAAGTCATGCAGCTTAGAAAAGGAGTCCTTTCCCCTAGACTAAGGCAGTCACACATCTGGGTAGATTCAACTCCTACTTGTTCCTTGGTCAAGTTCTTTAAGAAAGAGACTCTGACATTTGAAATTTGCATGCAGAAGTCTCACTGGGGAATGCTCTCAGGAGCTACCCCTGTACTGGGGTGACAGAAGCAGGACTGCAGAGGGAGAAGTTGAGCAAGCCCACAGGAAGCTCTGAAGCTGGAACGATTATACCAAAATGCCCTGTTTTGGGGGTGGGGCAGGCCTTTGTCATCTCAAATGCCCCAGTTGGGAGCTGCTGTGGGGAATAATGTGTCTGTCTTTGACTGAGGACAATTCCTAGAGAGGAATTTAGCTACCAACTGTTAACAGCTGACACTCCTCGCAGCTAGAGGAGCCAGTGTCTCAGCTCTGCAGGAAGAGTATGGGCAACACACCGCAGCATGCCCTGAAGCCCCTTATTATTTATGGGCAAACTGAGCAACTGCACTTGAAGGCGCTTGTGGGGGTGGCCCAAGGGGTGTGGTTTCCTTCTGGCATGGCATTAATGCCTGAGTTGTCTTAGTGTTCTCCTGGGGCTGGGGGAAGCCTCACTTTTGGCATCAAGGTACATGCTGGCTTAGGTGCCACAGGACTTATAGACAATATGTTCTATGAGAGCTCATCTCATTGTGTCCCCATAACTTAGCACATTTTGTGGCTCCATTAATATTTTCTGGTTGAATACATCATTGTAAAGACACACAATCACTTAAATGCACTAGTATAAACCATGATGCACTTCTCAAAGGGAAATACAGAAAATCTGATCTAATCTGGGGAGTCAGGGAAAGCTTCCCAAAGAAGTGGCACTTGAGCAGAGACTCAAGGAATGGAAAAGATGAGCCAGGCAAGGTGGAAGGCTTGCTTCCCAAGTCAGGCCTGGACAGGCCTTCACCTTTGTCCCCTGTAAATATCTCCTTGGAGGAAACGAGAGAACCTGAGAAGTCACGCTCATTGAATTTCTCCTGTTATCTGTGGCTAAAGGGTATCTTCTGTCCTTATCCCAGCCTTATCTTGTACAAGATTCATGTGTCAGAGGGCTCATTTTCATCCATCCTTAGCAGGGGTGGCTGAAGGATGGCTTCATTTGCACCTGGGTATACTTTCTGGTGTGGGAGATACAGGTGAAGTGTCCTAGCTGGAGGTGGAGCGGGTCACTGGGGGTGTCTTGTATTTGGATGCCAGTTGTTATGGGAAAAGTGGGGCTGGAAGCAACTGGGCTGCATCATGACTAAGCCTCCTGTTTCTCATCTGTCCTTACCTCTCCCCACCCCTTTGCCCCACCCACACTCACTACGGCCCACCACTCACCTCTGTGCTCTGCTCATTTCTCCTCCACACCTGTGTAGGTGGCCACCCTTTTCTCCAGGGCCGCCTCTCCACTCACCAAGTCCCTGCATGGAACCCTGTCCAGTAACCCCAGGTCCTGCTGTTCTCAGCCCTTCCTGGATTTCTGCAGCCCT